TGGTGTTGATGAAAGTACATTACACGTTATTGATACAACTATTGGCACAAATGAATGTACATTTTCTGTTAATGAACGGCAAAAGGTGTAGTTAATAATTTATTGAACATTCTTGGGTCACGAATTTGAATCTTAATACGCAAGAAAGATTTCTAGACTTTGGTACTGTATCGTCAGTCACTGACGAACGGGTTGTCAATCTTTCGAAACAAGGTTATAAAAAGCTATGGGATACGATACTACTGAAAATTTAAAATGGAAAAGTTTTATAAGCTTGTATTCATTGTATATATGAAAAAGAATGTCAGTTTTCAAAATAAACATATCGCGTTGCAAATCATTCCTTCTTCATTGAATGTTAGAAAATCTCCAATTATTGCTAAAAACATTCAAGTTTTGAGCGCGAAAAAGGTCTTAAACTCGACGAAACAATCCTAGGCTGTACAGTCTACATTTCCAAAACCTTTGCACAAGAATGTAAACACAAAATTTACTAAACTACCAGTATAAGAAATAAATTAGTTTTCGTAGATTTTTATGACCACTTACCCCACGGACATTCCAGTATCCAATAGCTGGTTTCGACATTTCAGATGTGCTGTTCAAAGCTCCAAAAGTTTTCCACGCGAATATTTAGGAGTTCAGTGCACTGCGGAATTCTGGCGAATGACGACCCCAGCTACTGTAACTTTGATTGAGTAGAGCGGGAGGCTGTCAAAATCCGGGATTCCAATTCGTCAAACTACCAGGTCAAACGTGTAAAACGGGTTATCTTGAAAGTACTTTTACTCGTACATGGTAAAGATCCAGTTGAAACGCAAGTATAATATCAAAAAATTTGGTGGAAGTTTCTCGAAACGATTGTATGTTAGGATTCGTAATCATGAATTGTTCCGGATTACAATGTAACATCAGGGGAAATCCTTTAGATGTTTCAAAGCTTACCTCGGCGAGAGCACAACTCGAATCGCACGTTCACCTGATATCACGCAAGTCAGTCGATAACTTAATATATAATCAGGAAATAACCTGTTTGAAGGATCTAACCTGGACGTCTAAACCTGTAGGAAAATTGATCGTATACAAGGGACGAAACAAAATGTCAAAAATGTTAAATCTCAGCTCAAATATCTTTTTCAATTTTACTCCAAAGACTGAACGTTGATCCCAATACATAAGACAAGTTCTAGTAAATATGGCGAAGAATGTAGTCAAAGGAATATAATCTTTCAAAGAATCTAGTCCGGCAGATGCTTCCTTGGAGCTACCCTGCGAGCAGAGGTTTTTTTTCTGACCCTCCGTGGAGCCTCTGCTCGCAGGGTACCTTGGAGCATTCATAAAATTGCGAAGCTGAATACGCAGCTGTAGTCCTGGCATCGATCCATTGCTTCCATTCATCGGACCCTCGATCATTTGTGAGTACAGGTAATTTAATAAATAGTTAAAATATGGGGGAAAATGGAATTTGAAAAATCAAACTCTACGTAAATATGTTCAGTGTTAGACGAAATGAAATACAGGTACAGAAAAGGAAATAATTTTGAGCATGTAGCTTAGTAGTCTCCCTCGCATCCGTTTTTAGTGTCGGTCGTCACGCAACGCTACGGATGCGAGGGAGACTAGTAGCTTAGCTCAGTACGTGAGAACGGCGATCTTTCAAGCAGCAATTTAAAGAATTATAAATAATACTAAGAAACACGGTACTTTTTCAATGGGTCAAACCTTTTTAATTTGCCAAAAGCTTTTCCTTGTTGACTTAATAGGAGGGTCATGAAATTCTTACTGAGCGAAAGGGGGACGGCTAAAATCATTTTTTAAAAAGTTTCCTGTGAATCCCCCCGCATTCCCCTGAGAATTCCCCTAAAAATATTCTTGTCATTACATTAAAACTAATCTGTGATATCGCAATTCATCGGAATTTAGCGATCGTATTATTGATAGGTCGAGAAATGAAGTCGTCACTCTTCATGTAGGCTGCAATGGCAGGCAATGCCTGGGGAAAAATCAATAGAAATAACTGGCATTACAGATTCGTGCTTATAGGTTTATGGAGAATTCATATTGCAAATTACACAAGTGGCTTTAGCACGTAATGCGCCGTCTCTCGAAATTTCAAATCAATAGGTAAGTCCCGTTCAATACGCAGCTCTACTCTTGTAGCAAACCTAATTGATGAAATGGTGTATAAATCAGAGGCCGTCCAGTCTCGCATAATGCGGCAAGCCCTTGCCAACTTAACGTGTTTGCCTTATGAAATTGAAACTGCAGGTATAAAGCCAAACTGACTCATAAGCAACGAACAGTCACGTGCTGATTTATCACTTTGCTAACGAATCAATAGTCCCCTTCACAGTTCCCTTTAATAGTCTCCCTGAGTAGGGGAGAAAGCGTTGCGTGACGACATTGAAAGGTAGGCATCTTTGCATTGAAGCGAGACGAACGGTGAGCTTGCAATGATAGAGACCTTTTCAACACCTTGGACAATTATTCACCTGTCTCTATCACTCCAAGCTGACTTTCCTCTCACTTCGATGCAGACAATGATGCAAAGGCACGGCTAGCTTTCAAGATGGAGCAGGGAACTGAAGTCTCCCACTAGCTATTCAGCCAAAGGTTTTCTTTTTGCCATCTAGTAACATGCATGTGATTATTTCCTGCAAATGGCCTATTTGCCGTACTTAGTTTATCGATTACGTGCGGCACAAGAGCCTAATTTAGTTCGAAAAATTATACGTTTGCCATCTGAATCAGCAGTTGCTCCAAAACAATTGAATAGAGCGGCGTATGAACGGGCCTAACGCACACAAATGCTCGGGACCGCGCGCACTAACGTTTTCCCCCAGACAGAAAACAGAAACGGTTTTCTATTTCATTTTATATATATATAAGACTTACCTCAATACGCTCAAGATATGCCTAAAAATCGAAGACCAAACTATAGGTTAGCGACAATTATACCAAAATAGAAAATGCAGTCGTGTAATAAGTAGAACAATCAAGAGAATACACTTGCATAATAGGCATAATAATCAAGAGAATGTGCTCGTGCAATATCCACACGATTTGCAAATGCAAACGCATTATGTTATTTGTATATTCACAGCAGAATCCCTACCTTAAGATTCGCATGGGGCTCCAACAGAGAAGCATCAAACACCTTGTGATGATCAAGAGTTTCGTACAGCATAAAGTCCACGAATGTGATCTGGGATAAAATAATGATTCAATGATACTGAAACTTTAACGATATCAAATAGTATATGAAGATCTGTAGATGGAGTTTGAAAGAGCAGAAGGAACGCTGATTATTAATCTTCTCTATGGTGTTATGGACACCCTGAATAAATATCATCATCATTATCATCATCATCATCATTATTATCATTATTATTATTATCATTATTATCTGCTAACTTATTTATTTACCACGATGAGCAAAAACTTGTTGATGCAACTGCATGAGCATTAGTTGCATCCTGACTTAATTGCTTTAATTTGCATTGGCATTGGTTTTGGCATGGAGTTAATTTGACATCTTTTTTTAGTTTCTGGACTAATTTTTATTCACCTTGTCTCCAACAAGATACTTCTTCTCACCAAGGAAGTCTGCAAACGCTTTGATTTTAGGAACGACATTTTTGAGATATTTTGGCTTTTCTTCATCCTAATTAGAGAAAAATAAATAAATGAATTATGATAGAAATAGAAAAAATTTATATATCCTTGTAGTTGCTATCTTATTTGAGTAAGTTGATTTTTGGTTCTCTCCTGCTCTTTGTTTTTCTTTCCTCCACATTCCGTGCTTTTGCTAAGCGAAAGTCCTCTGCAAAATCCAATATTTCCAACTAAAGTACAATAACAATGGATTTTTTTTGGGCCAAAGTTACTCGATCATTCATAGCTTCCTAGCTGGTATATTTATTGGCGTCTTACATAATCATGAATATACTTACAAAGTTTTCACTGCGGTAGCACAGTGCAGAGAAACCAGACCGAAAATCCTGTATCTGACAATAAATAAATATATATATATATAGATTCAACAGGCACAGCTTAGAATAACAGCTGGTCAGGCATCGGTCATGCTGACCAATAAGTTAGTTTTAGCTTGGCCATACTATGTTTCTGACTCAACATTACCAGTTGGTCAAAGCGACTGGACGCCATAAAATGACATGTATATAATTGTCAGATGACTGGCCCTATTCTTAACTCTTAATAGGAATAGTGTGGATACTATTTTCAAACTCTATGCAATCTAGATAGAACAAGCCATAGCTACTGTACCTGATTTTCCATCATGTCCACTATGATTCTCTCTTTCTCTGTCTCACCACAAAGATTTTTCTTCCTTGCAATGTGACGAAGAATCTGAAAAATATTTAGGATTGAATGAGACATCAATGAATCAATAAATAAGTTCAAAAATAGTCTGCGGAAAAAGATGTTTTTCTAGTTCCAAATTAACGCTGTGTTCCTTGATTACAGACTCATTAACTCATGCTTAGCCTTGTATATCAGTGTCTAAGTATTCACAAATACCAACGGTAAGGTAAAGATTAGAATGTACAACGTCAACAATACAAACACTTTGAAATTCCACAGACCTTCACTGGAACACATGAATATTCTGTACTGTGAAAATCAAGGCTAACCCTGGGTAAATGAATCTGATAGTCCAGGAACACAGGTCTATTTCAGCTTTATGTTTCCTTTGATGTTTCTGAAGTCAGTCCTTTGTCAGAGTAAAGTTTTCTTTGCTTAGTAAACTCTAGCTCCCCCCCCCCCCCCCCCCCATAATTAGTAATCATAAATTCAGTGGGAGAAAGCCAGTATTTGCACGAAATGCCGTAATGCCTCATGATTCAACCAGGAGTTAATTAACTATTAACAATGTCTGGGTTAAACTTTGCAACCGTGATAATGTGTACTTACAGCACCACTTTGGGTAATCTTGATGTCACCATCAATGTAATAGGGAAGCTGGAATGATAAATAATCAGCAACCATTAAACCAGTTATATATATTAAGCAGACACTTAGAACCCAATATTTATTTATGCACTCCCTCCCTCCCCCTCCTGGTCCACTAAAAATGACACTACTACATCCTTATTTTGATGCTGAGGTCCACATGTATTCCAGGCTACAATATATGTCACACCCATCTGCTATTAGAATTTAGTAGCTAAAGAACACAGGTACGTATACCAGGGCATTTAAATATTCTTTAAACTTACATTTGGGAAGTCAAGTCCAAGGGTGAACTTTTCTTTCAACCAGCTTTCTCTGCTGTAATCTGGGGCTGCAGTTGGTAAATTATAGAGATGTCATTTCAAACATACCGTAAATCCTCTATTTAGGCCCCTGGGGGGTTTATTTATTTCAGGCACGTTTGAGGTAGGGCTTATTGCAGAGGGGGGGCTTAATCGAGAGGGGGGGCTTAATCGAGRGGGGGGCTTATTGATTTAGTCGAAACGCAGTATGTAATATGATTGTAACTCAGGATTAAATGGAACCATTACTATTGACCGTCTTGCATAATCTATATGTTATAGTGATGTACATGGCATTTTTATTATTTGATTCACCTGTGTTAGTCTCTCAAGTATAATTTATGATTATTGTGAATAGCAAAACTAAAACATGGTAACATTAACAAAGCAAGCTAAAAAGAAATGTTCTGAACAACCAAGACTTTAATAAATCACCTTTAATCAGTACATGTGATTCTATAGTTGTGAAAGGGGGAGGGGGGGGGGGTGTAACAAATTTCTTCCTTTAAAAAGGGGGGGCTTATTAGAGAGGGGGGGCTTATTTGAGAGGGGGGGCTAAATAGAGGATTTACGGTAATGCAATACACTGATCGAAAAAATGACAGAATGCGAAGAAAGAAGTAATGAAAAAAGAAAAAAAGGAATGAAAGAAAGATGGAATGCTCTCCCCACTTTAAAAACTGTTCTGCCCTCCCTGTTGGTGCACAATAAATGACATATGGTTGCAGGAAAAAGAGGTACAATAGACCTCTTCACCTTCGTATGCAAATACTCCATTTTACAGTTCCGTTCAATGACCATGAATAATAGTTCCAAGCCGAGGTTGGAGTTGCCGTGCATGATAAAAAGTATAGTTTTGCTATGCACGGAAACTCCAGCCTCAACTTACAACTATTATTTGTGGTCACTGAACGGAACTGTAAAATGGAGTATTGCCCATTTCAGACCACGTGACATTCCCTTGAGAATTGTTCTTTTATGACGAACATGTTAAAATATTTACCCATGAAAGAATCAACTCCCAAGAGTGGCGTCACATATGGTCTGAAATGTGCACAAACACACACAAAAAAAAGAAACGAAGCTGAAAAGGTCTATTCAACTCACTTACCAGGGCCACAACTGTATCGCTTGTCTTCAAACTCCATTCCAACATAATGCATTAACAGACGAATTGGTTGGGCAAGCTGCATAAAAGGAAAACAAATAAGTTAATAACTGCTCCTTTATTCAGAACGTTTCTTGGGTATACACAAATAATCAATCAAGATAGTATAATCTGAACGCATACAGTATGTTGGCCACGTGTACACGTTTCTCCTCCTTCAAAGATGAAAATAAATGTCGAAAATGTTCAAATCTATAATACTTACCCCTCTGATATCCCAGTATCCGAAAATAGGAGCCATCTTCAGTGTGATTTGTGAGATTTTTTCCTACCTGTATTATAGCAACTTATAGAATGTCTATCAATGGTGGTATTGAAATTATGGGTTCCCTGTGGTTTACGGGATTTGAATGTGCGAACGTTTTTTGGGTACATATTTAACTAAAATCTACGGAAGCCCTGGAGGGACATTCACATTCGCACTTCGCACTTCGCACTTCTTATTTCACATATGTAAGGAACACTTAATAATGTGAAAATTATTTCATTATAGGAATATCCTTGATTAAAATAGTTGACAATCAAGTCATCTCTTCCCATTTCTTCTCTTTGATAACCTTGGAGATGAGAAAAAGTGTACCGTGGCAACACTTGTGTCTCTGCGGTGCCAACAACGTATACAACGAAAATGATAGTAAAGAACCACCTGATCACGACCTAAAAAAAACAGAAAGAAAGAAAATAAAACAAAAAAGTTTAGTCTTACATACCTAGTAAATGGACCTACCTAGCAAAAATAGACTTACCATATCTGTATGTTTTCGAGCTTCTTGTCTGATTTTCTGAAATGCACACTAAGTCCGAAGTACATTTTGATAACTGAAATTTTAAGTGTGAATTATGAAGTGTGAAATGTGAAGCGTGAAGAATGAAGTGTGAAGTTTCCACTTAAATATGTGAAATAAGAAGTGCGAAGTGCAAAGTATGAATGTCCCTCCAGGGCTTCCGTAAAAATCTTTTTATTCCTAGCATGATTTTTTCCTAGTGTCAGTATGAATCTTATTCGATTTTTTTTTTCGAAACTCATGGAAAACTCCGACAATACTTTGTAATATTGTGGGCTTCCTGTGGTATTCTTTCGCGTGACACGCACAGGAAGCCCAAATAAGTCTTATTTTAGCTTGTTTTTTACCTAAATTAGCAAATAAGTTCAGACCTTTTCTATAGCCTACATAGGGAGCGTCTATAGATCTTTTATATGACTCACTTCCATTGCAAACAAATCACACAAAGAAGGGGGGGGCTTAGTATTTGCTGACTTAACCG